AACCGCTGTTCTACGTGAACGAGGTGTTGTTATGTTTTTACTTCATTGTTCCCGTCTGTCAGGGACTCGACGTCACTTACCAGTCTTGAGTCACCGTCCCTCGCCCAGCCCCGCCCATTCTGGGCAAATTTACTCTGACTTTGTCTCTTTTTCTGCCCTCCATCAGCAAACTTGCACAACAAGGGTTCAGATGGTGCTAAAGGAACGGAAGAGAAGAGCGTGGCAAATAAGAGTGTTTGTCATAAATGGAAACATTTACACCAACAGTGTTGCTGCTGCTCACCATACAGCCACTCACTTCCTCCCTAAAGTCAGGGAGTGTACATTTACTAGTCAGCCTAGGAACACAGACATCTAATTTGGCAGCTGTGGCGCTCTAATCCCCTCCCCTTCCTAAAAGAGGCACGGCCAGCACAGACTATTTCAGTCTAATAATCCAATTAAAAAGCTTAGTGAGGGAGTGGAGGCCATCGAGCAGCCCCCTCCCCCTCCCCTACCCTGTCTCCCTCCCTCCGTTTCTTTGTCTGTGCTTTGCCACTAAAGGCTGAGTCTGTATGAGCTCTTCAGCCGGAGACTCCCTGACTCCTGCTGGAAGCATGAATCAGTTGTCTGACCACTTCATCCTGTCTATTCAGCCACGCCCACTAGGACTGTGTATAATCCAGTGACTGTGTGACATTTCCTGTTATTTTCTATTATATATAACACGAGGTAGAACTCTTATATATATATATATGTATATATATACATATATATATATACATATATATATATATATATATATATGGTATGTATAAAACTCACAGATATGTTGGTACAGCTGGTACAGTGTAATTATATGATGCGTCTTACCTGGAACACCTGCCGGTGTTTTCAGGAACTTTCCGTTGAAGTGAGAAATGACGGCATCACATTTTTCAGTTGACTCCATTCTGAAGTTAGAATAAGACAAAGAAAAACCTCAGCCTTACGTTGGTGATGGAGAGTCCGGTACTTTCTGTGTGTCGGTGGAAACGTTTGTTAATTGACTGGTCAACATTTGACTGGGAGTGCATCCTCAGCGTGGAAAAGCACTGGTACGGTCTTGGCACTTTTTTTCCTATCAGCGCACACCCACGCACACAAGCATTCCTAAGATGCAGTATGTTATTTTTGCTTCTGTCAAACGTCCGGTTATGCAAACAAGAGTGACGGAAGCAGGCGGCTCCACTATAATTAAATGGTGCAGTCATTGTGAAACCATTTTGAAGTGGTTTCCATTTGGCCATAAGTAGACCTTTCTTTCTGAATAGCCAACGTCAAACACCGCCTTGTAATGTTTACCATGAGATAAAATAGACAATAAGTGCTTAATAAAACCTCTTGTCATGAATCGAATGACTGTGTTGAAGCATTTTACACCAACTCCTTGTATCACCATAATGGTAATTTTATGCTGAATAAATAAAAAAATTGGAAAATATTATTATTATTTTGTTCTCATATGCATTTAATGTATGCAGTATTATTAGTTTATATATATACCAGAAATACTTAGGTTAAATGTACAATCAGATTTTTTATAACTCTACCTTTTATTTCAAGCCATGACCAATAACAAAAAACTCCTCTCACTCACTTTAAATGACACTTTGGGGCTAATAAAGGATTTTTTTTTGTTAAATGCTACAATTATATTATAAGAAATTTCTTATAAAGGGTTCATTTTGCCACCAGTGGAAATTTCTTATAAAGGGTTCATTTTGCATTATTCACCGACAGTGCACTGACCTGGCAAAGCCCACTCCTCTGCTGGCGCCGCTGGAGTCTCTCAGGATGCGTGTGGATATGACCTGACCAAAGTGCTTCAACATATTCTCCAGCTCCTGCTCGTCCATGGACATAGGGAGGTTGGAGAGGTACAAGTTGGTGGGGTCCTGTTCTTGTTGCTAAGAGAAGCAGGAAGAAAGAGCTGGTGAGACCCCCATTGTACATAATCAAAGGAGAGGAATTGGGATCTTGATCAGTAATTACTGCCAAATACAGTCGCACATGCAAGTCATTTGAGTTTGTATATTTAACACAAAATTAGAACATCAAATATGGAGCCTAAAATATAAAAACATAGAGGTGGTGTAATAATTTAAAAAATGTATTCTGATTTAATACAGGGTGGCTATGGATATTAATGACTAATCATGACTACTCAAGAAAAATCCATAATACATAAAATGCGAAAAAAATGTGTCTGTTTAATTTCACACATTATTTATTGCAAATAATACATTAATTTTGACAACCCTAAAAAATTTGGGTTGACATAATGATGGAGCCTGAAATGGCTAAAATGATGATAACACAGATGTCATGTCAGCTGTAGGGGGGGACATTTGTCAATCTATTTGGATCACGTTTCAACTTATCAATGTCACCACGTAGAAGAAGAAGCTGCTTTCTTTTAAAATCGACACAGAGTTTATCCCTGGAGTACTAAGTAATCTTTAATGGGGATTAGTATAGTCCTGATTGTTCATGTCTGTTGCTTACTTACTCTGTTGGGAATTTTATGCAGCAAAGGGTCACTGTGAACAGTGATAATTAGTGATTTGCATGCATCTTATGGCGGCGTAAGACTCACATCAGCTGAATTTTTGCTGTTTTAAATGCATCAGCAGAAACAAAAGGCGTCGGCTACATGTCCCCAGGGAGCAGCCTCTCTCCCTCCATTACTATTCATCAATTTTTCTTTGCATTTACAATCAGCAAAAGACCTGCGTAGATTTACCAACCGCAGTGGACCATAATTAACACTCAATGAAACAGTTTGAGAGGGGAATTTTCATTGTGTCACCACTGGATTTTAAATCAGTAATGAGTTACTTTAGGGTTACTGTCTGGGCAGATTAAAACAGGAAGTAGGACCTTTGTCAGGGATTTCATTAAGCCCCGGCAATCTTCTGCAGTGAAGAGTGAGAATGAGGCTGAAGGAGAACTCTCACACTTTATAATAACGTTTGACTTTCCCCACACAAAGATTAAACTCTGGCCTGCCCCTCAGAGCTGCTCTCTTTTGATTAGGTAAAAGTGAAGAGGGTGCAGAGAGGCATGTCGAGATGCCTCACACATCTACCCTGAAAGGAGGAATGAAGTGCAGGGGTTCTTACATATACTGCCGTATAGGAACTAAGTTTCCTTCACTGGTTTCTGTTACCATAACAACCCACAATTATTTACTTCCTCTGCTGGCGTCAGAGACAGATATAATGTCTGAAGTATTTACTGCTTTGCTTCATAGGCCCTCATCTGATAATGTCCTGTATCAAGCTGAGGCAGGATCAGGTGCTTAAAAAGCACCAATACCTGTCTGTCCACATGATGCACGGAGACAGTTAATTTATGAAAAGACAAAGACTCTAAGATGTGTTGAATTGAAGATAGATAATCTATTACAATGTTCTAAGAACAAAACCTCTTATAGTCGCTAGATGTCCATTGGCAGGTGCTGGATGTGTAAATATATATATATATATATATATATACACACACATATACTATATATAGTTCTGGATCCAACTTCTGGATTGACTTTAGAAACACAGTCATGCAATGAATAACTCCACTGGTATGTCACCGCTCTGTCAACAACACCAATCTCTAAATGCTATAATCTGTCTATTGGCGCCAATCATGTCTGAAACCTTGCTGTCAGCCTGGCACGGATCTTTGGCTGACATACCTTTATATGTACTGTATATATAGACCTTCAGCACTTCAACACACGCACACACACACACATACTAATGTAAACCATTCTTAAACAATATCAATAATTAAAAAAAAACTTTTAAACACAATTTAAACACAAAAACAGTAGAGAATTGCAAATATCTGTTTGTTTGTTTGTTTGTTGACTGTTTTCATGGCTTTGCATGTTGAATTCTGAGGCGTCAGCCATTGGCTCTTAAACACCGCAGTCTCTCTTTTTGTCATGAACATTTTCTAGCATTAACATTGGATGGTGACAGAACTAAATTCTTTTGATCGTTTTCTAAAATTTAAAAAAGAAGTTGACAGAGGATTCCCAGCAATGTTTAGTGTCGATATGTGAATCAACTGTGTTTGCGGACCCTTTGATGAGTGCTCCTTTTTTACCTTAAAAGTAAAATTCCTAAAAAGACAAACCCCAGAATATTACTCGTCTGTTCCGTTATACATATGCATTTGTCTTCTGACAGTCTGTTTAATAAAGTTTTAAATTGATTGAGGTTTAACTTTCAAGAAAGTGCACTAACTTTTTTGACAGTTGCAATTAATAATTTTAGAAGGAATACAAGTTTAACGTTTTAAAAGAGACTGCGTTACAGTAAGTAAGAGGAGTCTGGACATGGTTTTAATATAGCAGACTCTCACCAGTGCAGAAACACAGAGAGGGGAGGGTGAGGCAACAATCCATGACATCATTGTCAAACTATGAGAAACAGGAAGTGGTTTCCATGGTGGTGCTAAAAATCCCCAACATGCACCATACTTGCAAGCCTATAGAGTGTCTTTTCAGCCAAGTTTAGTTTAGCCCCAGTACAGGGATTTGACAAGGCCACCTTTAAAAGAGTCTGCTTTTAGTTGGCTTCGTCAGCATTCATTCATTTCAACTAATGTTGTTCAAACAGAATTTTTACATAGAAAATATTTGTGTCAAAGTAATAAAACAAACTAAACTATGATGTAAACTGAAATATTTAACCCTCAATGATGGTAAATGTTAAATTATCTTCTCATTCATGAACAGCGCTGATTAACTTGTAATTGTTGACGTAGTAAATTAAAAATCAGTTTGATATCTTTTTCAGTATTTCGGTTCTGGTTGTCAAAAATAAGGCAACTAAGCTAATTTTTCAAGAACACATGGGCCATGTTTGCTTCGCCATCTGCTTCCTCAGTCTCAAGGGCTTTTTGCCCAAGGAGGTAAACAAGGACACAGTGACCTCACTGGGGTGGGGGTTCTATTTTACAGCATTCAAACATGGCCGTTTGGAAGCTGACCTCAGTGTGGGAAGGATTTTCCACTGTCATCAGAAAAGACTTTCGACATGACATTAATACAGTTTGCTAAAACAAAATGTATCCATAAGGCAGTGGATGAAAAAACTCCAATAGGCTAACCTTTCTACCTTTTAGTATTTTAGGTCACTTTAGGGCACATTCATATTGGTTACCTGTGACCTGAATTATTGCAGAAAATAATTCAAACATTTGCATATATTAATAGTATAGTTTAAGTTTCATACGTTCATATCTTTCAAATCTGCACCATTCTATAAAAATAAAGTGCAAAAATGGTGACCTTAAAAAAGGTGCCAATTAATGAAATGAATGAATGGTTGCTACTCTGAAAAGAAAAACTGAGCTAGATTTCAGCTTGGCCTGGAGGAAACAGTCACTGAAACTTTTATCCAAGAAAGTTGTTGTTTAAATGTTCATTAAAAAGGGCACAACCTCTCACTGCAGATACGTTTTCTACTGTGTGTTTTAATTAATCTGTTTAATATCACTGAGATCTAAAATGAATACATTCTATCTATAATGAGAGCAAATGATTGAGCACATTAAACACTATGCCTGGTTTTCTTTAAAATTCCAGTCACTGGGTGGCCTACAGACCAAGTCACAGGGAGAACACACAAGAAGTCAGCCAGATACAACAAGCATTACTGTAATCTGTCGGACAATTCAGACTGTGGTCAAAACAGTGTTAACGGGTGACAGGTGGGTGTGTGTGATATCAGGATTAGATGTTAAACCCTCACCTTCGCCATCTGAGCTTGGATACCAGTGGTCTTCAGGGCAGCCACAGCTTTCTGAGCAGCTGCCGGGCTGTCGAAGTCCACAAAGCCATATCCTGTGGAGAAAGGCAGCACGGTCAGTACAGTAGTGTGTATGACAAACAAAGACGGTAGAAGCACCAACATGAGGCCGAAACATGTGGCTCTGTGTTTCCTCTGTGAGGCCAATGGTAATGAAATTAAAGATACACAGGGAAGACATTAGAGAAGATGATGTGAAAGGCTAGGAGGACGCAAGTAGGTCTATTGGCCTGTATAGGTTAGATTCTTTGAGCAGTGTCTTGGTCCTTCATGTCGTCTATGTGAGAAACTTCCCCCGATTCGATAACAAAGCCAATATTGCTGTGTTTTGAATTATTAAGATAGATTTAAAGGCTGCTGATGAGAACAGTGTAGGGTGGAGGGGGTCTAATAGGTTAATCGTGGTCGACCAGTTTAGTTGAAAAGGCTGTGCAGGTAGATTGTGAACAATTAAAAAAAGTAGTCTCTCTCTCTCTCTCTTCCCCCTCCTTCTTTGTGTGTATGTGTGGGTGTGTGTAGAAAATGCTGAGGATGCAGATACCAGTGTGACATTCATCACTCAGGTCAGCTTTTGTCGTGGGAGGTACAAACAGGGTGAAACAATAGGTCTTGCCCTGCCCCGCACGTGTCAACAGCTATATTTAACCTAAATTACAGAGAATACGTGAGGGCTCTTTCAGCCACAGGGCTCATATGGATGGACAAAAAAAGTCAACATAAGTTATGGGATGAAATGAGTGGTCACCACGGCAGTAAAATGCAAACTGACATTTATGCAGTTTTTACAACAGATGCCGATCTCGATTTAACCTGCTACATTTATCCAGGCTTGTGGCTGGAACTAGAAGTGCAGGGACATACATCATGACATACTTAGCAACCGGAGACTGAGTACTGCTGCCAACCTGCCTCGCTCAACCAGACCCAGACCTGAGCTTGATGTGATCTGGTTTAATTTAGTTGGGTGGTTCTCAAGTGTTTTATTTATAGTAAACTGTTTCCCTAATAAATGGGAATGGATTCACATGAAACACAACTAATTGGTTTAGTTGGATTTGTGTATTTCTTGTAAATACTGTGTCTTGAAATAGATGTAAACTTAAACAACAAAGATACTGATTTCTTAATCAATATTTGTACATCACAGCTTCAAACAACTCATAGTGTAAATCTATTATATTCAACATTCAAAGACTTTTTTTTTAACTCTAAACCCCGTCGTCTGGACGATTGTGGGCTGCCACACAGTTTGTCTGTACCAGGACTGTCACAGCTAATGATAGCTCTGGTGTCTGTACTCACATCAACATGTTTTAAATTGAGCTAAAACTGTAGGCTTGAAGTGCTGCAGTGATCAAAACATTTTTTTGCATGATGTGCAAATTGTACAGAAATTAAAAATTACCATTGTACGATCCAAACTGCTATTGGAGTAAAGAAAAAATCACAACAACCAACACAGTCACGGTCTCATGATGCTTCACTGAATATTTTTGTACATGTGCAGGTATTTCTCTTTGCACCTGGTGAAAATAAAACTAACTTTTATCTGTAATAAATTAATCCATGCAAATGCATTAAAGTCTTTGACCTTTTGGGTCATACAAAGTTTCAAGTTTTTCAAGACATTTTTTTAAATGTCTTAAAAATATTCATGTCAGGGCCCAGTTGACAGAGAGCAAAAAGTCAGGCCAGGTGGGTAGTTTGCAAGAACCAGAACAAAACCAGCAGTGTCATTCACTAAAAAGGGGAGGAGTTGGCCTTATCTCTAGGAACAACCCACAACTGTGAAACACCGACAAACAAGGGCTGAGGCCTAAAATAACACGAGCAGGGAGAAACCAGCCTGGCTATCTTGTTTTCCCACATGATCTGATCTGATCTGATCAAGACAACTTCCATTCACTGGATATATGTGGTGAAAATGTACCGTCATCATGTCTCACAGCAAGACGGTGCATCAGAACAGCACCTCCAATGTTTTTATTCAAAAATACAGCAATAGGTGTGATGTTGTTGAAAAGAATAAAACACAAAAGCATGTCACACCTTTGCATTTGTTGGTAGTCTTGTCCAGGATGGCCTTTGTTGATACTATTTTGCCGTACCTAGGGGAGGAGAGGAAAGGCCTTTTTAGGGATTGTTAAAGGGATTATGTACCAGACAGAGCTTTTGACAATAGTCAGAGAAGGTTGAGCAACAATCTATGACATCACTGAGAAAATATGCGAAACAGGAAGCGGTTTCCACGTGGTGCTGTAAATCCCCATTATATGTCCGCAAAGCTCATTGAGTGTATGTTTGAACTGCTCGTTTAAAAAGACTAACTTAAACATTATATTCCTTAAAATGAAACAGATTTAACAATGGATACCTGAAATAGACTTTAAAAAAGATTGGATACAGAAACGTTCACCATGCAGTCACAGTTTTGAGGACTTCAAAGAGAGAGCTCTTGCTCTCAGAACATGCAGTATTCCCAGTATTCCCAGACATTAATCATGTTAAAAAACCAATAAATGCATATACAATAATTTTAAGCACCTGAACACTCCCTGTGTTCTGAGGATTGGCTTCTGTTACTATAGCTTTGTATTGTCACAGGTCGGGCTTTTATGTTGAGCACAAAAGACAAACTTTGATGGGTATAAGCCTATTGTAAGGGACGACAATCCACAGTCTACAATGCATTTGACCTCACTTTGTAGTTAGCTTGGTGAACACTCGAACAACAGCAACTGTAAAGGGGGCTAAAAATGTGGGAGTGTCCAACTCACTGGTGTAACATGTCACTTCCTGTTTCCTTGATATAGTAAAATGTGCCTTTAAGAACTTTATGGCTTATTATTCAGAAGGTAATCATTAATTAAGCTTCTTCAATTAGCACATTATATATTCAAATTAAGTGATCTAAAATAGTGGATATCATTTTTGAGGGTACATTTAACAGCTATGCACAGACATTAATATTATTATTATTATTATCTGACCCCATATTACCCCAATATACCCTATTAGCCATTGCAGGAGAATATTGCTTCACTGTGACATCCTATCATAAATAATCACAAATTTGCATATTTTATGCTTCCTGATATATATTCCCATTCTATATATCTAAATCCCAGAATTAGTAAAGAAACAAATGTATTCCTGCTGCATCCTTTAAAACAAACGAGTTAAACAAGCTAAATCTAGCAATAACTACATGTTGAATCAATATTGGACCCGTTCTAAATAAGCTAAAATAATCACTTTCTGATAGTCCCTAACGAACAATGGGAGCGTGGTACTCACGGCTGACAGAGTTTGACCAGGTCATGATCTGTGGTTGACGAGGACAGACCACGAATGTAGAGGTTTGTTTTGCTGAGTTGGTCACAGCCTGCCGTGCTGCTGCTGCTGCTGCTGCTGTTGTTGGCACTACTGTTGGTGCTCGGGCTGGGTGGAGCCATGGGGTGTGATAATGTAGCAACAAGTGGCTTGAATAGGAAAAAAACAACATTTTAGTTAGCAGTGGTTGACAATATGAAAGAAATCAAAACAGCCAAGAGTTATTTAATCTCTGAACACAAACTGGTGATTGTTGTGGTGTTTAGAAATGTGCTTAAATGTGGTTCACATACTAGCAGGTAGTATGTGAACCACAGCATTGACCAACAAAGTTCTGCACGCAGTACACAAGCGTGTTTTAAAAGGCAGAGCATTTTTTTAAACTATGGTTTTATATAAGACTCTTTTGTACACTTCTTTAAAATCACAAGGACAAGACCAAAAATGGAATGAGGTTTGGTCATCAGAAAAAGAAAACCACAAGTGAAACATAAGTATATACCTTAAATAATGTCATTTATATTAGATAATGTAATCTAGTTAACTAAAAAGTAGATTTTTTTTTAAAGTGGAAGTCCATAAAGATAAGACACAATAAGAGGGAATGACCCATATAAAGTGGAAGTAAAGTCCATAAAGACACAATAAGAGGGAATGACCCATATTACAGAAAAAAGACAAGGACAGTTGTGGGAAGGACAATTAGCACCAGTCACTTTTATTGATTGATAGTCTCTAAATTCAATGTTTTCTGTGTTTATTCATTCATTTTCAAATTTTCTAATCCCTCACTGTTTTGCAGCAGTCAATGATGGAAATACACCGTTGTGAAACCAAACCCTGGGAGGGCTACAGTACAGACAACTATTCACACTCACACTCATACCCACGGTCAATTTAACACATCCAATTAATCTAATCCCTAATCTTTAATCTTTTGGACTGTGGTAGGAAAGCACCTAAAGAAAACTCTTACACGTAGAGATGACCTGGAGAAGCATCCGGGATTGAACCTGTTTTGCTGTAAGGCAAGAACACTGACCTGTGTTTTACCTTAGATTTCTTTGCAAGTTTATTTGAGAGACAAACAAAACGTAGCTGTGTTTTCGTATCTGTGGCTTGTCTATCAAAACAGGACATAATTAAAGTTTTGATACAACATTGTCGGAAGTATACAGCCCCACAGGTCCAAGTCAGCTATAGTTCACATGGACCTGTCCTGCTGTGATTAACCACAGGCCCAGACATGTGTGTCACAAGGTGCATTCCTTATATCCAATGAACAATGACGAGTCTTATAAGCTCAATGCCTAACTTAATTTTGTGGGAAACTTTTAAAAGATTTTGATAATTAAATGTACAGTATATAAAACAATAATGTTCTATCAGACAACTCAATATACGTATGAACCTGTGTGCTTGAACTGTTTTGAAAGCGATCCCTGAAAACGCTTCCCATTCAATAATAACAAAGACTTCCTGCATATTCTGCAAGAAACAACAAAGCAGAATCTGAAACATTACTGCACCTGAGTTATATTATTTATGTTCTGCATTAAAAGTCCAGTGTAAAATATTCAGGAGGCATAACTAGACAGATAAATAAACATACTACCTTCACAGTCGGTGCCAAGAGTTTTTAGCTTTGGTGTCAGTGTCACATTGATGTCACGCAGATGCAGTATGTCAATAAAAAAAAAAAAACAGTCTCTTGACATTATTGAACCTTAATATATATACACATATATATAAGTATATATGTGTGTGTATATATATATATATATTTACACACATATATACTTATATATATATATATTTACACACATATATACTTATATATATATATATATAGTTTCATGTTTACAAGCGACAAATGTCCTGTGTGTGAAAGCACTTTCTCCTTCAGAGATTTGTCTTTAACTTTGCTATCTGATACTACCACCCCCCGCTCCCCATTCACCCCATCTCTCTCTCTCTCTCTCTCTCTCTCTCTCTCTCTCTCTCTCTTTGTCCATGTCTCTCCCTTTCTTTCACTCACTGTGAGTAATAACAGGCTCAGAGGAAGATGAAGGAATCCCAGGCATGAGGCGGTGACAGGAGAGAGCAAACCCTTGTCTGGACTTTAGCCTACAGGATGTTCTCTCATGACTCGCTGCTTGACTACCTCACATGCTTTCACTGTAAAAATAGTTAAAAAGGCACAGTATGCATAATATTAATGATAACTATTTTAATAAGAATAATTAGTATTACTATGCCTAATAATGATGTCAGGTCATGGGATTCAAATGATTTTACTGCAACAGAAAAAATAAGCACTCCCTGCTTTGCTTAAAGGCAAGTACAGAACCCGACAGCAAGACACAGAAACAATAGTCCCTGAATATTGAAAAAAAAAAAAAAAACAAAACAGGTAGGTTTAAATACAAACCCACATTCTTAGTCCTATCACAAAAAAATATGTTTACTGAAATCAAAGTCAAACACAACAGCTAAACTTCTACTTATGGAACAATTTCTTCCATTTAATTCTGCAAATAATTCTGGAATAAAACAATGAGTACCACATCAGTCATTTCAATCATGCATACTTAAATACTTTTTCAATAAATACAGTTTGACCTAGTTTCAATTTAAACAATTTAAAAGAGTTACAAACAGGTGTATTTACTAAAATATATTTAATATAACTTTTCTCTTCAATGACTGAAACTGGAGACTCTTTGACCTGTGTGGAATAAAGTCAAGGACAAGACTGTCCTTCGAGAAACAAGAGACCTGTGTTCCCTTTGGTTTCTTTTTATGTATATGTTAAAGTAACAACCGGTGCCATTCATATGCCTGACTGAATGCACTAGATGCAATACTGTGACAGACCACGATGGGAGAGGACAGCATCTTATCAGCCAGTTCCAGACCAACAGAGCCTGTCATATCCGAGCTGGAAATGCATAAGGCATCCAGTAACAAGCCTCGCCCAATAGAGATTCAACCACAGGATGAAGGGCTTGAATACGGCAGTGTAAATGTGGGCATTCAAATCTTCTCTGAGGGGAATTTTTCCTTCAATCATCATTTAGTCAAACATTATGCTGTAGACATTAAAACCCATTAAAATAATGTATTAACTTCAAATTGATTGCAAACAAATGTAAAGAAAAATGCGAGTGTTTTGCTGTGCGTATGTCTGTAAGGTGTTGCCAATAGTGTTTAAAGACACACAACTGTGAAGTGATTCAAATGCTCATAATAAATGAAATGGGATGAAATTATTTCAAACTCCTGAAAAGGAGAAAAAAGGATCGGTACGGAATGTTTTACATGTCTTTCTAGAACGGCAGGATTTAAAATATTCAATTTTAAACAAATGTGAAATGTTTCACAATGTTTGGTGTCTATTAGTTTGGCTAGAGACTGAAACAAATACAGGAGTTTTTTTCACTTGCTAACCTAATTTGTTCTTTACTTCTGTAGTCTTTTAAATCAACTATTCGGAAATATGATGTTGACATCTATTTTAACCAGCAGTGTGGCAAATTCGAAACACTGATGGAAAGTACCTCTGTTTAGCTTGACAGGTGAAGTCTGTAACGTATAAAAGAAACAGTAGCATTGATATGGTTGCAACAGTCAGACGACTGATCAAAGTACCTTGTTAATTTTATCTGTATTATAACGTTGTGGGATGTCTCTGGAATGACGCTTTTTCCATGAAAATTGAAACTGATATCATATGAATGGAATGAGCCGTCGCCTTGGGCTTGTATTTACTTTGTAAACTAAAGGAGTGCTTCCTGTTTACTTCCTCTACTTCATATTTGCAGTCCGACTGGTACGTCCACTTTATACAACCAAACAGGGATTTATTACACACATACACCGTATTTTAAAACCACACTGTGAGGAGTTTACATGCTGTGGCTCATCTAATTGACTATTCCCTTCCAAGAGTGTGGGAAAGGATATGGTAGCTCCTGGACACAAATAAAAAACAAAAGGTGTTTGGATTTTCTTGTGTGGGCTAGTGTAAAACACTCAACTTGATTCAACATTCCAACCTCTCTGGGAAAGGTCATGATGTAGGTAAAAAAGAGCATATTCTGAGGCAGTGAAAACAACGTTACTTCCTTGTGGTCACATAACCAATATTAAAATAAATTAGATACAAATGTATCTGTAAAAACAATGGACTCCCTTTTTCAAAGTTTAAAAATAAATATTACAATAAATGTATAACATTTATTTAATAGTAGTGTGGAAACGTATGTTTCTTCAGTTTGGTATTTTTTTCTCGAGAGAAAAAATAGAGAAAGGGTTCCGCCCATTTGCGTTTAACAATAAGCACATTTTTTCAGTTTATACATTCGGTTTAGGTATCATCTCAATAATATCGTGACTAGCATTAATTTGGCTTACGATTATGTTACTATGATTTCATCAGCATCCCTTGACTCATTTAAGCATATTCAAACACAACACATGCACATTAATTAGACAGCATCAGCCCAGTACATCGGCCTGTATCAACAACATTATCTGACGTGGAGCCCAGCCCGAGCTGCAGGTTCTCTCATTATGTTTATTATTGTCCAAACTGAAGCGGACTGCGTAAACACGGCGCTTCCATAACAGAAACACATAAGTGAAAGTTTATTTCTGTAAAAGCGTATCTTTTACTGTACGCGAAGGATTTATTTAGATCCAGAAAACTACAGGAGCATATTTGGTTTTCATTTGAGGGACGTTTCGATTAGGGCTAATGTAAATATTAGCTTGTTTACCTGTTTGCGATATGGGGTCCTCAGTGGGTTTCCAGTATTAGCAAAAATCATCCTCAGCTCGAAAAAGGAGTGTTGCTTTTTAGTTAAGCTAAATGAAAACACACAAAACTTCTCATAGAAGTAGAAAAAAATAGTTGACACAAACTTCCTCCTTACTCCGCTAAAACACACAGAAACAGGTCTATGTACATATTAGCTGTATACATGTTCTTGTTTTCGTCGACTCTCCAGCGACAGAAAGCTCCGTAAATTGTCCCAACTTGGACCGCCCAACCCCGCTGCTGACCTGACTGGCTTCATTGATTTGCAGTCGGGACTGCGCAGGACGTGCACTGCTACGGTGGAAGAAACCATTCAACCTGTCGTAGGAGGGGTGATCCTCAGAAATTGGGTTTTACGAAACACAAATGGGTCATTTAAACTTAAATTATTCTATCAGTGTATCAAATGTTTAGGACAGTAAAACACATATTTCTGTTTTTGATCCGCTAAGTTGCTAATTTTATCTACGACGACGACATTTAGACCTACCTTTCCCTCTCTTGTAGTTTGTGTATAAAATGTCGCATACCAAGCATTCCACCCGGTTCCGCGTCTGATACCATTAGATATGAAATTTTGACAAGTTTCATTTTCTTAAAGATTAGGCAGGTACTTTAAAAAGAAGTCAAACATTTTAGCGTATGCTTTACCTGATTTTTGCTCAAGTTTTATGAGGAAACACACTTTTGCCAAAAGCTAGTCCACTATTACACACTGTCCTCATGCTGGGTCTGTGTGAAATGGACAACATTTCATGTTTCAAGACTCAAAGGCAGTGTATCATAGCTGTTGGTATAGTGATAGGTTAGTTTAACCTCATAACAGCTGGATTGTTTCAATCTTGTTGGTATGCCAAGTTTTAATTTAAGTTTAAGTTTTAATTTTTAGTTGATGTTACAATGTTTTATTAGAAATAATAGTCTATTGACTAATGATAAATATATAATATATATTATATATGTAATAATAGTCAATTATCTATTGACTATTATTTTTTCTAATAAGAAATTATTCTTATTCTTATTTCTTATTAGTTCTTTATGTCTCAGTCTCCTGGAAACATTGTACTTTGTAATCTTCATTGTACTGTCAAAGGATGTACTAAACCTGACTCTTATTTTATACGGCTATTTAACGGAAACTGTGTGACTGATGAATTGAGGATTGGTTTTCTGGAACACAATTTTGTTGAAAATGTGGCTTTTATAATAGATTGTGATAGGACCCTCTTAATGTGAGTGATGGGTTGTTGTGCTGGTGTTGATGTGAGTGGAAATCCCTACTGGAGCAGGTAAGATGGAGAGACTAGGCTATAAATCACAGCTAATCTACCAACTGCTGTCACCCAGTGATTGGAAGCCCTACGGTGGTGGCAGGAAAATGTGAATTAACGGCAACCTACAGCAAGGTCTAAGTGCCATGGATTGCTGTAACCAACATCTCATGCTGCCCTTACATTTTTATAAACTTTCAGGTTTTTGTCCAAATAAAATCGAATGTTTATGTTTTTCTTTACGTGTATCATACCACACTGAGAAAGGGTATATTGGAATTGAAGCCCTCTGATTCTTAGTAATCACTGAAATAATCACTAGAGTCCACTATGGCATCAGTTATCTTTAGAGTGTTGGTACAACGTGTATAGGTGAGAGTAATATGTGATTTATCAACCTTAATGAAACCAGAGGTCACCAGTAGAGCATGTAAAGAGGTTCACCAGACAAATAGGAGTCAATGGGTCAACATTAGAGGAAAAAGAGAGCAGCCTGATTCAGCATTTTTGCTCAGGGTACTGGAAGGGGGCAGGGTAGAAAGAGGTGATTGAACCACAACCTCTTTTGAACCAGTCTATGTAAAGAAAAATCAAATCCCTTTTTATTCATATTTTAACCGTAACAAGGGTGAATGATGACATATAATTGGTGGCTTTATAAAAAAATATAACCTACCTTCCTTTCACAAAACACACAATAAATGCTGTGCTGTTAAATGTGTTAAATATACAATGTGAAGTAGAGTTAGTTCATAAAGTAGTGCAACAGAAGAACAGCATGTGCCGTGAAGGAACAAAACCACATCCAACAGAAAGCATTCTGTTCCTGAAGATCACTCATGATATAGATGTTGGATCAGATTGTGCAGAGTAGACAGGCATGTACATGCATAGGTGCAGGGATTACCAGACAAAACCTCATAGGTGCACAGACACACAAGGCTCGGCTTTCGCTTACACACTGGGTATTTCCATGAGAGTTGTGCTATTTAGAGAAGCTTTGTTTTTTTTTCTCACCAATAAATGAAAACTATCTCTGCACTACATCCGTGATGTTGTGAATATTCAGGGAATGTTGATCCCCAATTTTCATTATAGATTATAACAGCAAATACGGGACAATCTCAATCTATAAACGGCAGAAACAGAGCTTCCGCTTTACTTCCTGTCCCAGGGAGGTGGCCCTGTCACAGTCAGAAAGCCAGGAAGCTATTTGTAACAACTTTTTACCTTCCTGTCTGGATGTGTGGATTGAGGAAACCGGCAGTAGATTCACTTCCTCTGATGTGTGACCTCAAATGAGTCACAAAATGGATTTGTAAGTTTTAAGTCACACTGGAAAAGACTCACAACCTAACAGGGTGCAGAAGTCTTGCATTAATATTCTTTTTATGAGCTTGTGTAATGCAGTGCTGGAGGGGCTTCCTATGTGAGGTCAGGTCGGGACTTTTCCTTTAACCTCAGATACACTCTCCATGTTCTCTAAATCCTAACATTTTGTGCTTTTTCTATTTAACTTTGTGTTGAAAATTGTGGCAAAAACATCACTAAATTATAAAATTATATATCTTTAGATATAAATATATATCTTTACATGACACAAATCACATTAAGCCAAATTTTCTTTAAACATTTGCATCATTTGCTGTACAGAATAACCTCAACCTTAGGGTTACTTCAGGTATTGTATATAAATATATTTGTCAAAATTTCTTATAAGAATTCAGAAAATAACACAGTGTAGCTGTGCAGTTGTCCATACTAATTCCAAGCCCATCCTTTTGGAATAGCAGGAAGTCCCTGAGGGCAGAGCCTCATCCTAAACCACACTATATTCAATTTTATTGTCTGATGTCATGCTTTTATGAATGCATTCTTTTTCCACACAGTTCAATCATGCATTTCTGCTGTGCACAAATCAAACCCTGTCATAATGACGAATTACAAGCAAGACAAGCATATACTGCAGCCCCTTTAATGCAATGAACAAATATGGAAAATCAAAGAATAAATATATCCTTATTTAGTCCAGGGATAATTTATTGGTCCCTCCAGAAAGCCATGTTTTTTTTTGCCAGAATCCCCCTCCTCAATCCCTCTGATAACTGATCTGTGTGCCCCCCCCCCCCCCCCCCCCACTTTTCCTCCTCCAGCATGCCATAGTCTTTACCACTGCCCTCGGTCTGATCTCTTCTTTCTGGAGACCTACAGCAGATTGTTTATTTTGCTACACATGGAGGAAACTCTGTTGGACCCTTCGTTTGGCCATAGATTTACTGCATGGACAACCAGGCTCCACTGTGAAGTGGTCTCTGTAATAGCAAGCTCAGTATCATTTTCACCACAATCCCTTCACAACAGGACAATAGGATCATCTGCCTGGGGAATATACCCATTGGTTATCACCTCAGCTGATACCGCCACAGTGTTGTGCATACAAATAGTTCTCTCCTCTCACTAATTGTAGAGATTGAGGTCATAGATCACTTAATGTATCACATATACCAACGTCCTTTAATGGACCAAGGGCAAAAACCCACTTCTGACCCTTTCACGTGTGGCTTCCAAGGGTTGTAATGGACAAAAAGACACTGAATTTCCCCAGAGATCATTTCAGCTGACATGAATGAACCACTTAAGTCGGGGCTGGAGGTCTGCGGGTAGAATTGTTCATCTTCCAACCATCAGGTGGGGGCTTTGTCTTTGTGGGGGCTTTACTCAAATACAAATCTGAAACGTGTGAAAGAAGGAGGGAGGTGGAGGGGATGTGATGATGCAACATGATCGCACACATCCATTTTGACATGTATACAAATATATATTTATTTAAACCAAAGTAAAACCAACAGATCACACAGCAGGCCCAAGATGAAACCCACAAAAAAAGATAATAAAGTAAATAAAGATGGGGTTACAATTTGGGTTTTTATGTATCTTGTTTTCATGTACGGTTTGTTAATCAAGACTAATCGAAGTGTAGTACCAAAATATAAATGTGAGACATGTCCAAATCCAACATGAGCTGTGTCCCACATATCCTTGACTGGGACCTGATCTCCAAACTCTGGTGTGGCTGATGTGGTGGTGGTGAAGATTTTACAAAAAGTGTGTGTTAAAAGGTCGTCAGCATGAAGGAATATCATGAACACACACATATTGTTAAAGGAAACATCTCATTATGACGTGAGGAAAATGAAGGCTCACTTCCCCTGCAGTCAGAGTGGGTGTAGTAGATAACAGGCAGAAAACTGTACATTAATGAATCACGCAGTGGACCATCGGCAGACCATTTACAGAGAAAAGGGCGATAAATGTCTTGGACTTTTTCTCACATCTGATGTAGTTACAGAGTTAATGACGTTAATGATGAGACTCTGCCCTGGAAAGACATTTCTGTCCTTTTTAAGTCTTATCGATTTAATCAACATTCAATCTTATTTCCTGGTGTTATTTCAGGAAACAGTACTCCACAGTCAGAATAATTTGCTTTACTAAAATCACAAGACTGTAGACGCCATTCATGCTCAACCCTCTACAAAACACTTCTTGAGCACCCCCTTGTGGTTGACTGCAGAATAAAGGGTCAGCGTTTGTTTGCAGATATGTAATAAGTAGGGCCAAATAAATGTTTCCCCAAGAAAGTAAGTAATATTTAATTGATAAATAGAGGAAATTAACTTCACTGAAATTTTCAAAGTTTCTCTTGACTTCATCTACAAGACTAAAATCTATAATCCACCAACTCTCTGAAGCTAAATCTTCAGCTATACTGTTACACACTTTACTTAGTTTCCATATTATTTATTCCATCGTTTGGAGTAGTCACCAATAAAAACAAGTGTGAAACAACCAAGGCGTTATTTGTTTTAGCAACATACGGAACCCTTGGGAATGTTGCTTAATCTGAATAACCATGACATGTGATCAATTATAAATAATATTTATCATAATTTTACCCTGTGATTAAACAGATACAAACATTTGAACTGTTTGAGAGCACCAATTTAATCATAAAGTTACAATTGAATTGACATTCGTGCCAAATCAAAATTCATATTCGGCCACGTCACATAAATTAAGGTGTAGCTCTTCTTGGTTAAAGTACCGACATTTGTAAGTAATGACATTTGAGAGAATAATTCTGGTAACTATCTCCAAACTTGATGTTAGTTCTGAATGACGTCAGTAGCTACAACAAAGAACCAATTAGTGTGTTGGTACTTCCTCTTGCTTCCTGTGAAATAAATATAGTGAATCGTGCTTTTATCAGTTAAAGATTGCTTTTAAAACCACTTTGTGGTTTTGCTAATTTTATCACATATGATAAAATGATTAGAAATAAAGATAAAGTGTGCTGGCCGTTTTCATTGACAATTTTGACAGTTCAATTTGCATGATATCTTTGGAATTTTCCCCTCTTTCTTCATATCCTGTCAGGCTGTTTACAATCACAATGTGCTTTCTCAGAATTGGCAGAATTCATCATTTCGTGGGTTTTATAGATAGTTAACTCTCACTGAAAGCATTTTCTTTATTAAGGTCTGTGGCTTGTTTCCCCAAGTACTCGGCCAAAGTCACTTGTTTGTTTTGTATTTCATGTCCTGTGACCTTTAAAATAGGAACTAGTGAACTATTTTTCTTTTGAAACAGTTTCCTGCCATGCTATGCAAAGTATGCAAAGGATGATTTAAAAAAAAATCACAAATAACCTCTACAGTTTGGAGGAAATGTTTTTCACTCATATATACTTCACTTATTTTATTAATCCTCACATTATTTTATTAATCCCTTTATCTAGTGTATGTTTATCTAGTGTATGTTTGTTGTAGCAGTGTTGAATGAATATATCAATAAATAACTAATGAATTGTTAAATGCAAATGTCAACTGCTACAATCAACACCCCAGGTTTATCAACAGTGTTTACAATAGTGGGTGCTGCAAAGTTAACTGATGATATCCAATTTTTATATTTTATTTTAGTTACCTTGAATTGTATATTGACAATCATAACAACATTAACATTGGTTAAATTTATCCTCAATGGTACAAAATTGGTTTTGAGTGTGACTAATTCATCAATAACAGTTGGTCCTTATTCACAAATGTGGATTATTGCAGTGAGCCAAAACTATTCCATTTGGGTCCCACTCTTTGCTGTATTGTCAATGGAAAGAGAGGAAAATGGGACCAGTCGATGTGTTTGAATTAAACAGCAAGAAATTACGGTTGTTGAACGCATCACAAGTTTTATACCTGCAGTAGCACGAAGTCACCGGAGCAGAGTACTGCATCACTGCTCTACCGTTCTCCACGTGTAAAGGAAAGGCATCAAGAAAAACAAGTTCCTCTGGTGTTTTCCCGACTATATCAAAGGTGTTACAATGACAGCTTTGGCAAAATGTGTCAAGCAGGTCAGGACAATTTGTCAACCCATAGATTACACACTGTAAAACAGGAGAATGTAAAAATGTGCCAACATCTGAGTATTCTGCCGTGACCATTTAACACTTCTTATCTTAGGAGTGCAACATGTCTAGTATTGAACTAGGTGAGTGCATTTATAATTAGGCCTCAATGTCACTCAGTATCGAGAGCACGTTGTGTGCACCACTGTGTAAAGATCATTATCTGAAGTTGTTTACACTGTGTGACAACAGGTGGATCTTAAATTCAACAATGGGAACTAATCTTTACTAAAGCTTTTCTTATAAAATATTGTGTGCGATGCAGTGTAGAAAATGCCACTATTTAAACACACTAATGTTTATATATATATATATATATATATATATATACATATATATATATATATATATATAGAACTGATCAGTAATCTCTCAACATTGAACCCACAGCATGTCTGTCTGTCCGCTTCAGAATAACTACGTGTTCACAAGGCGCATTTCCTACATATTGTTTGTCCACAGTCCAAAAAAGATAAATGTATTTAAATGTACTAGTACAAATAGTTATTAATAAATACATGCTCAGATTTTTATTTATCATTATTATATTATTACTGTATTTTCTGTGGCACAAATACATGTATTGCACCCCCTGCAGGGGAGTGAGATGTAGTTAGATGATATTCATTTGCCAACTTTAACTTAAATTTCTATAGTTTCTATTAAAAAACACTTACACATCCTAATATTTTTGTAAACACATAAACTCCCAGACATAACACAGAGGTTGCAAGCTTCAGTTGTAACCTCTGCATTACTATCTTAATACAGTAACTACACATTCTATTACCACGTTTTTAGAAGTTATAAATAAGTAGTTGGTATTTATAGCCCAGAGGGCACACAATAAGTTCTCCATAAAGTAGCTGTCTGTCAATCTTTACTCATTATGTGTTGCAAGTACCCAACTGCAAGTTTTGCACCTGCACTGCTGTTCACTTAAAGGTCAACAATACCAAAAGAACCATTTTTATCATTTTACCACAAACTTGAATTCACCCAAGAGCTGCAAAAACACTAATGTCAAAACATTATCCAAAATGGACGCCAATAATATATTCAAACCAAACACTTGCTATATTAGACTATAGCACAGAGAAATGTATACAGTATTTCATTTAATATTTGGACCCCTTTGACCTCATTCACTTCATCTGCACTATATATGACATCCTTGATCTTGCGTTAAAGAGAACAGTGACATTATGTTGTTTTGTTGTTAGGAGTTGCCAGGCAGAAGAAAGAGCAGAAAACCCCCAAAGTGGTCTTGTGGATGCAATCATAGAAGACATGCATGTAGTTGGTGCAAAAGTGGAGAAGACAGACTATTGGCTAAAGTGACCCCTAAAGGTCACAGTTAAAAGAAGATTTACAACATTTATTTTTAAGTTGGCTTATGGTTATGGCATTGGTTTACAGTTTATTTCTGTTAAAATCGTGGCTGTGCCTGACAGCCACTGATCAATCAGACTGTGCAGAATCCACCAAAACCCACTAATAATACAGACTTACTGGATATATTAGCTTTGGTTTAGAAGCACTACATGGCTGCCATAGGTTCAGATACAATCATAAGGAGCTATTGCAATGGAGAGCTGCATGTAGCTCGGGAGATAAGGTTGCATGACCCCTGGCTTAAAGCCATTTGACAATTAAAGGCCCTGTGGTGGTGTATTAGCTAGATGTTGTCACAATACCACCTTCATTGTAGCTTTATAAGAACACATAAAGGTTTGAACATGGTTTTGAGAACATAATGCATTCCCATTTGACCCTTTAAAACACTAAATAAAAGCCAAGCACAAAACCAAAACACACATAATGACACCAAGGTCCACTGGTGTGGAACAGTCAAAACCTTCCAAATATCTCCAGTTTGAACCTGAAAGACACTGTGACTAGTTTCCATCGACGGGTACGTGTTATAACAGACAGAAAACGTGTTGCAGAGTTAACTGAGCACAGTATATTTTCTTTTACCTCTGGTTTGGGGACAATTGTTTTTTTTTTTGTTTTTTTTACACATGCAGAACACTCGGTTTGCAGACGCGTAGGTTGGAAGAACCCTCAGCCAGCTCGCCGCCCTGTTCTGCTCCCCAGCCTCGGCGCTCATTGGTCGGGCTCGAATGAAGGCGGAAGTCCACAGAGCAGGGGGATTCCCCGAGGGAAGTTCCCAACTCAAGCAGGCTATGTAAAACATACTAAAACATTTGCCATATCCTCTCCAACAGCTCAGAACACTCGGTTTGCAGACGCGTAGGTTGGAAGAACCCTCAGCCAGCTCGCCGCCCTGTTCTGCTCCCCAGCCTCGGCGCTCATTGGTCGGGCTCGAATGAAGGCGGAAGTCCACAGAGCAGGGGGATTCCCCGAGGGAAGTTCCCAACTCAAGCAGGCTATGTAAAACATACTAAAACATTTGCCATATCCTCTCCAACAGCTCGTCACTTAGCACCTGAGGAGCAGGCGACGACGCTGAGACGGTGTCGATGCTTTAAATGCGACTTTATCTTGTTAATCGAATGAAGGTAAGAGCAGAGGGTACGAGTCAGACAGCAGTTTCGTGGACTCCTGTGTGGAGTTCTCGCCGCCACCGGTTGAATGAAATATGGCTAACAGTCAGTGAGAGAATACGGAACTCTGTGGATGATGGTGGTTCTCTGAAGAACTCCATTACTGTGTCCTTTCACTGCTCCGTGTGTTGGCTTTCACTGGACTCTGGTTCTATAGTGACTGCTAACGGTTTACTTTACGGCTTTCTTTACAACGGGGAATATAGAGCTGATGCTGCTCTAACCGGTAAAAAGTCGGTTTAATTAGTGCTGTATTGTTCAAGATATGTGCAGAAATTTTCAATTCAGAATAAATGTTTTGTAAAAGTTCTAATGTTCAGTAATGGCGTGCCTTAAATAACATGATTGGTTAACGGAATCGAATAGAGAGAATGTGCTGGCACAGTTACATCAAAATAAATAGGTACACACCTTATCTGAAAATGGACAATTTTTGAAAATGTGATTCTGGATAAATAATGGTAATAATCTGTGTAATTAAACTGTAGTAATGTTTTAGAATTATATAGTACTACAATAGTAATACTATATGATAGTACTACTATTGTATAGTAGTTAGTTGTATAGTTAGTAATAATGTTTGTTAAAAACATATATATAGTATACATTCAACTGACTTCAACAAACCCTGCCTTGGATTTAACCGTGGACATTTGCTGGAAACTCTACACAAGTGAAAATGACCTACTTTTGTTTAAAACGCTGGATTACTGCAGCCATACTTCTCTAGATTAACTGTAAATAATCACATAATAAAGTTAAAAAAAATCATTTATTTTGGAAGAAAAACATCTTTCTGTTTGGTACATGCAGCTGACAAGGCCTTCTGGTGTTATGACATTTAAAAATTCTGAACGATTTACATATTTTCTTCGTTCAAACGAAGGTGTAATAAGTATAACCAAGAAAAAGAAATAGTGGAAATTCATAGTTATGATATAAATCACTTATGACCTATCAGTTAAAATGCTAATGTTTGAACCTGGAGACATAAGAAGAGATAAAAACCAAAAGAGTATCTTAAAAAAAAATTAAGCCCAATTTTTCCATTATTATCTATTATAATTATTTCTTTTCCTGATTTTGCAGAAGTGTTTACAACAATAGATACAATTTTTTCCTTTTTTGGCAGCAACAAGTGACACTTCATAAAATTTTCTAATATTGGATTTTTTTTTCTCTTTGCTGTTATTGTGGTAGAAATCATTCATTTCCGAGTAATCTGAGACACATACGCACGTTTTTGACCTTTTCTGCTGTTTTGAAAGAAAAACAAATTCAAGTGAAAGATGAACATTAGACTTTATTGGCAGTCTTGTTAGCCATTACTTTAAAGTTGCTCAATATTAAAATGCTTGAGCACTGAGCTGTAAAAGAAAGTAATAGTGAATGCAAATCATTTTGTTTTTTGGCTCTGAACTAACAATTACTGTGTTTTTACTCAATCAACACACGTTAGCACTTATTTCCAACCGAGCTCTTTCCACATGTTAAAAAAGTGAACCAGATTTGATGTAAGAGTTTTGGTGTTTTTACAAAGGTGTATCCCCCCCACCTCCAGGGCTCATGTCTGCTGTGTCAGTGATGATTGTGGAGCACACGGCATGGAAAGGAACATCGGAGACCAGCTCAACAAAGCTTTTGAAGCTTATCGCCAGGTCTCCATCGAAAAGGACATTGCTAAGAAGGAGCTTCAGAAAATAGTAACGACAGAGAAATCTTTTTTTTTTTTTGTTGTAATTTTCACTTTTGCATTAACTGAGCCCCCTATGACCAAGTTAGCAAGAAAAACAAACCACAGTCTGGCTTTCTATTGACTCTTTCTTAAGGAAAGTTTTGTAACACTCACTGACACTGTTTGAGCTTCATGTTGCCAGGATTTGTTTTTTTTACTGTTGACACTCAGCTTTAATTTAATAAATGTGTACATTTATGTGAAAGTGAAGTTTCTTTAAATGTTTAATATTTAATGAAACAAATTCAAAATTCAGAGAAAAATAACTTATACTTAAACCTCAGAATTTTTCAGATTTTAATGTTATTAACGATGGGTGATAAACACTGATAAAGTAATTTTTAAAAAAGTTAGAATTTCTTTTACAGGAGATTCCCTTTTTTTTTTAAACAGACTGAATACTATGAGGGGTACACTCAAAAACTCCAGAAGAAGATCGAGGACCAGCAGCAGCTGATTTCAGAACTTCAAGCTAAGTTGTCAGCTGTGAGACAGCCGCCAGGTGAGTGAGCTGCACGTCGCATCTGCAACTGAAACCGTTTGTCCAACATGATACTGAGTCTGTTGAGAAGTTCCTCCTGTAACCTCTAACACTTTGACACTTCACTTTTGGATTACCAGGAGAAATGAAATGTGAACCCTGCAACCACCTCCTGGATGGGGCCAGTGCCTATAGGATAAAACATTACCCGGTAGGTAAACAGTCTTCACCTGCACCCGCTCTGCCTTTGAACTGTGTCCAGACGCATACATCGCGGTACCAGAGCCGGTTTTTCTTCATTCTCCAAATGTACAACATGCTTCCTCTTACATGGAAACAAGAATGTTCACTGTATGTACTTCTGCTTGATATAACTGCTGCTCTGGTAATGATTTCATGGCCTGTTTTTCTTGGTCACCATTGAAACTAGTGATAACTACCAGACCTAAAATAGAGCCGTATGATACTGTTTAAAAAAGAAAGGGTGCATTGTGAGGTTTGAGCATCATCTGTTACATAACCCGTTTCTTTAATCTGGGTGGCTCTGAGCTGTGAAGCTCATGTAACGTTGGTGTCCATTGTTGCAAAGCTTCTGTAATAAGTTGTGAGAAATAAACCCTTTTATGGCCTTTAGGACTAAGTATTAGTAAAAAGTTGAAACAACTTTATTTTTTCATATTTACTATGGTGACACATTTGAAGAAACTCGATTTCTGTTGAGCTAGTCGTTGTTGTTTTTTTTACTCCACAAAAGGTGTATGACACTTTTACCTCACCAGATGGTGCTAGAGGACAGTTTCACCGTAAAGCCAAGCAGTTTGGGTTTCCTTGTTTCTCCAGTTATACGAGTTATTTTAATGAAAAGCAGGTGATTTAAGAATGTGTTCTCTGAAAGATGATGTGATTTGTTACCAATAATGTCATTTATTTCTAACCTTTTCAGGAGAACATGAGCAAAGGGGCTGTTTCCTCAAACTTACCAGTCAGTGGCATTGACTAGTAGGTGCCTCTCTTTGTCTTTGCATCTATTTCTTGTTGTTATTGTGTATAACAGATATTTTTATTTAAAAACTGAACTTATTCTGTTATTCTCCCCCCTGTCTGTTGTCAGCCAGGGCATGTTGGATGTATTTGAAGCAATTCAAGGGAAATTCCGTCAGATTCGGTCACTGACACAAAGGCAAAAAGATCACCTTAAACGATTCCGCGGAGGAAATGATACAGTCAACGGTAAAGTAAATATTTAACAAATAACATTTTTGGTGTGTGTTTAAAAAAAAAATCCTAATTCCAATATTATATGTTTTACTTCAAAGGATATCTGTAAAAGTGAAAGATCTGCATGTGTAATAATAATAGAAATATTTATAAAAAATAACAACACCATAACAGTACTATGAATAAATGTCTCAACATGCTCTGCAGGACGATGTGATGCTGAAAATTATCATTTAGAGCCAGAGAATATTATCTTTCATTGTCACCAGTGCTGTTGAATAATGTGGAAATATTACACTAAATTATTTGACAGTATTTTTGTATTTCAGCTTCTTATATTACTGCACATCTGGCAGTAAAATAAATACGTTTTCCTGATTGTCAAACTATTTTAAATAAATCACATCATATAAATTTAATATTGACAAAATGACTTAAAGATTAAAACAAAAGTGCAAATATTCATATAATACTTGTTAAGATATAATGGTAAAATATATGACTCTTCTCTGATTATTATGATTATTTCTGAGCTAAGTGTCTCCAGAAGCCAGGACTGAAACACATCCTGATGAGGTCTGAGACAGAAATGCTGTTTAAAGTCTGCTCTTTTCCCTCGTCTGTTAGATCAGCAGTTCTCCATGCCCATCCAGTGCACAGACCGCACAGCAGAGGCAGAGAGGCCTTTCCCTTCGGTCCTGTGCTCGGCGGTGGAAGTTCCACACCCGCCTAAGTCACTGGCGTCCCGCGGCGCCAGCCCCGAGGACAGGGATTTAGTAGACTCTCTAACAAAACTCAGTGTCAAATTCCCGCCACCTGCGGACAGTGAATATGACTTCCTGAACAGTGCTCCGGAGAGGCACATCGGCCTCCCCATGCCCATGAAACCACCCCTCAGTATCGTCTCCTCCACAATGTCAGAGGAGGAGCCTGTGGAACTGCCCATGCCTTTTGTCTACCCCACGTCCCCCTCCCACTCCACATCTTCTTCACTCTCCCAGGAGAATGTGCGGGGACCCCAGCAGGTGAGAATCACAGGAGAAGGTCTGAGAAAACTAGTAGCAAATTATCAGTTTATGATTGGTCTTTGCTAATGGAGGAGTGAAACGGTGTGAAGTCCAAAAAAAGAGAGAGAAAATTCTCACAGGATTTTTTTTTTACCTAAAAAAGTATTACTGTAAAATATGTACTGATTCTTTTTTCTTTTTTTTTCCTCCACTCAAGAGTTAATGCTCTGGTTATATTTGGCATCTTTGCTGTAATGTGTGAGCCAGATGGAGACACAATACAGTATCTGAGTTTTATTTGCTGATGTGAATAAATGTAGAATAAAAGACTGGGAAGGAAGATCTAAATGTTGGATCTGATTTTCATAAAAAAAAAAAAAAAGCAGAACTGCATTAAAATAGGCCTGATAATCGACCTAATTATTGTTCATGCCTTTGGGCTGATCTGAGCTGTTTAATAAACTTTGAAGGCCACATGGTCCAGAGTTGCTGTAAAAAAAAAAATCTTTTGGAGGACATAAATAATTTATTGTTTTTCTTGGTTCATCCTGCTCTGTAGCCACTCTGGAGCCCTGACCTGTGTGAGGCAGTTGACGCGGGGACAGAGCTGGTGACGCCTCAGTGCAGCAGTCCTGATAACTGTGCTTTCTGCCATGCTGTGGTTCCTCAGGACCAGATGAACATCCACCTCTACTCACATTTCTCTCCTAAGAATGACGCCAGCAATTGATAGCAGCACACAGACTGATGGGCTGAGGCCTCGACTACTCCAAGACTTTACTGTACTCATGGCGTGCCATGATCCTGCCCGCCAGGAAGTACATGCGCTGTACTGGACTGGGAATGACACTGCAATAAGACTTGAATCCCTTTATTTAATGTTGAAGATTTGAATGGTACACTTCTCTGCCTATTATATTTTTCTAATGTCTAATAAAAGTTTACTATAGCAAGTGATGATGATGATGATGATGATGATGATGATGCCAAATGTGGTGAATGTGAGCAAATAAAAACAACATTTATACATTTTTACAATTGGACTTATTTGACCACATTCACTGACATGTGTTGAGTTAACTGACTTCATACAATGTTGCCCCAGTTCAAGATCATGTGACGTACTTTGTACAAGTGCGAGTAAAATCTAAATTTAACGATGAATTTCAATGTTGTTATTAGGCAGGAAGACTGGGGAACGTTTAGCCACTGAAACTATTCAGAAACTGCACCAAAGTTAGAACAAAAACAAGTTAAACCACTGGGTCATGTCTGCTGTTATGACACATTTAAATCACTTGCTAACGAAGGAAAGTTTTTTCACGTCTGACTGTATTTCACAGCAGTGATGCAGCTGTGGATACAGATCAGTCCGGTGCATTTCCTACACATTTTGTACAAGCCTCACCACTTTTTATAGTAGTATTTTGTAAAACATATTTTTTTGTTTAGCAGTCACTTAATTTTTGTGAAATATAGAACATGTCCCCGAGACAGATCTGGACTGCAGGCAGGCCAGTCAAGCACTTGTGCTCCACGTCATTTAAACCACAACGAAAAGAATGTTAGCTGTGACGGTTCTCTCCGTGGCGGTCTCATTTGCCTTATTTTTGCATTTGGTTATAGTTAAATAATAAATAATAAATAAATAAATAAAATTCATCTTTTCAGTAAAAACATGTCCTTTTACCTGTTAAAATTCAATCAAACCTTCAAGCCACTGAATTAATTTGTATATTACCTTTAACTGGATGAAAACGCAACTGTTTTCCTATTATAAAGAGGCATTCATTTTGTCTATTTTCTTGATTGATATAATGTGATCAAATGTGTTGAGCTGCTGAAGCTCTGTCTCCTTTTTTTTATTTTAATGTCAGGATTTTTTTTTCTCCATCTTGTAAAACAACCATATGTTACATATTAGATCTGCCAATATGCATCCAATCACTTAGTCCAAAAACCAATCAGGCCACAGAGTGATGAGCATGATGATTAGCACTATTTTCATGTTAATTCATGTGTTCTACCAATTTGGGCACCGTGATAATCTGAAGCAGCTGCGTGTCACTGTGGTGACATGTTCATCACTTGGATGAAAAAGTTTAGCACGTACTCTGTTAGCAGTTCATTCATTGCAGATGATGCATCAGATTTTCATTATCATACCTACAACGATTCTCACCGATACTACATATCGGTCGATAATATCGGTTTCTGATGAAACAACTCTAAACGGCAACCTCCAACGGCAGCATCCGCTTTTAAATTCTGCTGTATTTATTCACACCTTTGCAAACAATTGCACTGATTTTCACCGTGCAGTGTGAAGATGTTTAAAGAAACGGTGCTGCTGTGAGTGTTGGAACACTTTGCTGTGCAGCGAGGACCCTGCAGCCCTTCAGCTACGGGCTGATAACACTTGTGCCAAGGTAGACAAGCTGGTGTGAAGACTGCAAACCTGTTTTTTTTTTGCAATAATAACCTATTTCTAATAATCAAATGAGGTTTAAAAAGAGCAATTGATTTCTTGTTGCAACCCTCCTTTCTATCGACGTTGAGCAATTCACTGCTTCAGAAATAACTCAGGAGGAGGGTGTAAGATGTGCTGTGATATTATTAGAGATCTGATAAATATGCATATTATTCAATGCAATAAGACGTTTAGGAGACAAAAAAATTTTTGCAAATATCATATTACATTTAACATCACATTATGTAAACTGAAAGGGAAAATGTATTCCACTTCCTTGGCAAATACAGATCCCTAATGATCACTTCTGGTTAATCTGTGAAGAGTTGAACATCGTGCGACCTGCAAGCTTTTCTCTCTGGGATTGTGAACAGCTGCTTGCTCATAATTATGTTGTCATTCATGTTTTTTTGGATGAGGAAACTCATGCTGACAGCTAGGATTTTTTTTGTGTGTGTGTGTGTTTTTGTACACTAGATGCACGTGCGTACAGTATCTGGTGAACTCTCTGAGCAAAGTTCCCTTTAATTCTGTGCAATTATTCCCACAATCGTAGCTGAGAATGTATTTCTCTGGGACTATTTTCTGCCAGAGGCAGTGGATTTGAAGTATATATGAGAGGATGGAGAAAGAAAGAAAAAAATAAAAAAGAGTGGGAAGAAGACAAAAAAGGAGAGGGATATGGATTGAGATGGTGAAGTAGCAGGCTGATTACAAGGTGTCAAAATTGCCAGGAGCAAGAAGGTGAAAGCAATCAGGGGTGAGAAGAGTGCAGCATTCGTGAGGGGCAACTAATTATCCATCTCATTTGTGGAGAGAAGCATTTGAGGCAGCTCTAGCCCACTGAATGGTGACAGATTGGTGCGGAGGAGAGGGGAGGTGTTAGAACAATGGAGCCCAGCTCACCATCATTACTGCATGTGCTAATAAGCAGTGTTTCTGCACCACCAGTCGGAGCCGCAGAGTGAGAGTTCGGAGGGAGACGGGAAGTCAGTGGCTTCAGGGGAGCGCAGTCATTTTCACGAGGAGACCATGGCTAGTGATGTGAAAGTGGTTTAGCTGTTAGCTGTTAGCCCTCAGTGTCACTTATACGCCCATTATCCAATGCACAGACTGAACAAATGGGGTATTAGAACCAGAATAATACTGTGTATAAAAAAGATTTATTGTTAATTTAAATCAAGTCTGGTCAAAATGAACATGTTTGTCTTAAACTTTGTATTTGCTGAATTGTAGGGCATGTATTTATGTCCCTGTCATGTGTAAAACAGTCATTACTCTACCCTAAATATGAAGACCTAACGTTTTTATCAGGAAATTAAGAAACTCGTGTCAAACACCAAAGGATGTTTTTTTTTCTTTTTAAATCTTTTATTTACTCAAGTAGTTTTTGTAACAAATTCTTTCTAGTTCTGTTACTCACTTCTCACTCTCGCTTTTCTTGAAAGTGACACCCACAAGTTTTGGAAGTTTAAAACTTGTTTTAAGTCTCGAGGGAAAATAATTATTGAGGCGCATACAGCAGGAGGAGGACATACAGGGGTTAGGTAAAAAAAAAGGAAAAAAAAGAGAGATTTTTTTATCCTGTGTTGGTCCATGGACAGGAAAATAAACTCCATACTATGCAACTTCAAAAAATGATCTCCAGAAAGTGGGAGTGAAGGAGGAAGAAGAGCTGTCGCGATAAGAAAAGACTGGAGAAAGAGTTAAAGTTAGAGAGGGAAACTTCTGAGTCAGATTTACAATCCTGAAATCTGAACCATCAGTCTGACTAAACTCAGCTCAATCTGAGTTCTGGGCAGTTGTAGGTCAAGGTTTAATCAAGTCAAAAAAATCCAGACGTTAAAGTAAATACATCCTTTGATAAACAGCCAGACAGCGGCGGCTTCATTCAACTGTGCTGCTGCAGAGTTACATCAGTTTTGCTTGAATCTCTGTTGAGATATTACTGAATTCTGAAGTTGCAGTGAAATGAAATTTATCAAAACTGAGAAGAAAAGATAATGTGAGGCTCTGAATAATTAACATTTCACTCACACGGGTCACTGCAGGACGGATTTTTCAAAACAAAACAAAAAAGTCAGAGTAGAAAAACCTGTTAACAGAGAGCGGTTTTAAAATAGTACATTATTAGAACCTTAGAATAAAGTGATGTGAAGTCATGTGATCACATGCTGTGTTTTCAGGAGGATTTATAATAATCTTAAGGTTTGTCAACCGTAGAAGATTTAATGTATTTAATTAGTCCCCTACTGGACGCTACAAAGAATGGAAAAAATACCTCCATGACATCATGAGTTTCATGGACAGTGAGTGATTGTTGATTGATTTGTTTTTCTTCTTTGTTATACACAAACAAAAATCAGTTTCTATTTCTAGGTACAAACTTGAACTAGTTTCAACGCATTTGCATTGTCAACAATTAAATATAACTATATATATTGTATATAATTAGTTTTTCTTTATTTTTTAAAGTGACAGGAACGGTAGGAGGTTAAACATATCTGAAATAGAAATTAACATTTTCTGCAAAGAAATCAAGTGTTGGCCAACGCCACAGAAATCAAATATGTCAAGGTTTATAGACAGAATAAGATGTACAAAAAAGGGAGAAATAAAATCTACGTTGGAAAATATTGGTAGAATGGAGAGAAACTGTTGTTGGTGCAGTAATTGAAAAATGTATTCATTAATTTACTATATAAAAATGATAATTTTACAAGTAGTGTAAATGAAATAGATCTTTAATGAAAGCTAAAATTAATTTTCATTATATTTGTTTATTTGAAAATCTACACATTTAACAGATTTATCTGTTTTAAAAGGAGTAGTATTTTTCACGGTATTTGCAGCCGAAACTCCATATTATAACAACCTTCATCAGATCACACCAGCGGCAAGAAGATATAACACGTCAGTGGGGGGAAAAAAAGCTAGGTTGTTAAAGCATTTAATCAAATGGAAAACAAAACAGAGAGATAGCAAGTGGATGAAGGTCACCTGGATAAAATGCCCTCTTTACAGCAATGTCACTTCGATAATTAACAACTCAGGAAAGAAGCATATTCAACTGTCTGTGCACTGGTCACCGTTGGCATGAGAGACTGCCAACTCTCATGGCGTCACGAGCTGAGAGTATCACCTCACAGTTGTCTTGCCATGCGTTGGGCTGCGCGTGCTCTCTGTGCAGAAGTGGCGGCGCTGACTTTGTGTTCGATTAAACGTGTTGAAGCCATCGCTGCCTGCGCAAAGTCTCCCAGCGACTCCTCTCCATTGTGTTGGTTTCGGTGCTGGTCTGAGAGCCCTGAATCCTGGAGCAGAGATTTGGCAGACGCAGCAAGTGATGACAGAGGCAGTGGTGAGATCGCACCCAGAACCCCAGAGGAGGCTCACATTTCAGGCGGATCAGAGACACACACAACACAAAAGCCCCGATCAGTGCATGTGGTTGAATTCATTGTTCCAAAATTCACATTGTTTGGCCGATCCAAAAAGCAGAATTTTGGAGAAGGAGACAATTCTAAACTTTCTACAGACATTTCCCTGCCAATGTAGACAAAAAAAATAAAATAATGCAGGCTGGAAGCCCCGCTCCTCCATGTCACCATCTAGTTATCTTACTGTCAGTTTTAAATCAGACTAGGTTGTTTTTCTTCTTGACACATGGGGGTGGGAAAGAGCATGGGGCTGTTTGTGGAATGGCAACTTGCAATTCGAGGGTTAAGGCAGCATGAAAGAATCCATTCTCAGTTTAATGACCTAGCCTCGCCGGGCGAGGACGACAGAGAACATACTCTTGACTCGTACTGAATTTGCCAATTAACACCTCTGATAACAGGCTGCCTCTGAACATCACCAGAGAAGGGAGAGGAGGAGCAGCTCACATGCACTTTGTTTTTCAGCCTCTGATCCTATAATGATGAGGTCTGTAATTCCGTCGGCCGTTAAAGAAGGTACATTTGATGCACTGCCAGAATTTAAGTAAAATCGCAACCGCTGCGGAGTGACGGGCGGACAGCGTGTTTGCGAATGCTGCAGTTTTCTAATTTGCTGCATGTATCCTTACAGTTATTGGACATTCTATTTTTTGCACAAAGCCATATGGCCGCGAGCAGCCTCAATTAGAGATGAGGCTGGTATCTAAGATACAATGTGGTTGATTAGCTTTGTCCCTGCTAATTGTTATAAAGTAAAAAAAAAAAGAAGA